TGGTGGGAATGCAGACTGGTGCAGCCATTATGGAAAACAATATGGTGTCACCTCAAAAAATTAAAAATTGATCTTCCATTTGACCCAGTGATCCCACTTCTAGGAATATACCCTAAGAAGCATAAAACACCAATCAGAAAGAATATTTGTATCCCGATGTTTATAACAGTGCTATTTGCAATTGCTAAGATCTGGAAACAGCCCAAGTGTCCATCAATAGACGAATGGATCAAAAAGCTGTGGTACATATACACAATGGAGTACTATGCAGCGGTAAGAAAGAAAGATCTCTTATCCTTTCAGACGACATGGAAGGACCTTGAAAGTATCATCCTAAGTGAAACAAGCCAAACAGAGAAAGACAAGTTTCATATGATCTCACTTATTTGTGGAATATAATGAACATAACAGTTTGAGGAATGGGGTAGTCCCAGAGACGCAGAAGCGGGATACAGACTGACAGTCCCCTAAGGAGGGGGGAGGTGGGGGAGGGATGAACCACAGAACTTATATGAATGTATGCATGAACAGTGGACATGGACAACAATCTGGGGAAGGGGCAGGGAGGGAGAGGGAGGGGGGAATCAGTGGGGGGAAAAGGAGAAACATCTGTAACAAAAATTAATCAATAAAAAAAAAAAGAATGGCTGTCTTCTTCCAACATTCACAGTTCAGAGCCTTGACAAACAAAAGCTGTGCAAAATAAATCTAATTTAAATACTTTGATGGCAAGGGTCCAGGTTTCAGATGCAGAAGAGTTGTCTTTGAGTTTGTGCCTCACTGCTTGGTTTTGTCATTGCAAGGACATCACCATCCCTTTGGGCCTCGGTTCTTCCTCTCTGAGCTGGAAACAATACTTCTTATATCTACTTCACCAGGTCATTGAGAGACCCATATGTGATAGCATATTTGGGAACATTTTGTGAATTGTAAAACAGTGAACAAACATAAGAAATTATCAATATCATCATCACCAATAAGTTATTCATCTGCTTTATAATTTCCTCATTTGCAAAGTGGGAACAATATAGCACCACCTTCCTCTTACTCTCACCAAAATGCTGCTGTAAACTTTGGCAATAATACTTAAAGTCATTCAGATTAGGGTATGGGGAAGAAGATACCAGGGTGGAATATATAAAGTGAAATATAGAGTTTCTAATCAACAAATACACATTGAGCGGCTACTATGTATAGGCACTAAGCTAAGATTCTGGGCATAATGTAATCAAGAAATGGTCTTTGCTCTGAAGGTCTTTGCTTACTATCTAGTGGGATGTTATAGACACATATGAAGTCTATTTCAGTATAGTTTTTTTTAAGAGGTAAAATCAGAGAGAGTAATCAAGGTGGGCTCAGGTCTCATGGGTGGTGATGTAGCATGGTGGTGAGGAGCACAGAGTCTGTACCCAACTGCTTGGGTCTGCATCCTGATTATACCACTTATTGCTGTCTGACCTTGGGAAAGTTATTAAGACCACTGTGCCTCAATTTCCTCATAGGTAAAAGTAGAATAACAATCAACCTCAATAAATCATTAAAGTACTACATGAGCTAATACATGTAAAGCATTTATCACAATGACTGGAACACAAAGTAAACACTCAAAAGTATGAACTATTATCATTACATGGTGATGTGGAGACTCTATACAGTGGATTCCATAGTAGTGGAGGGGGAAAACAGGGAAGGCTTCCCAGAGGTAATGACATCTGAAGGACAATAGGAATTAGCAAGTGAAGGAAAAAGGTATTGTGAGTGAGATGATTATATACTAGGCAGAAAGAACACCGAGATTCTTTAAACAGTTATTTCTCAAACTTTCATGTGCATAAAAATCATTTAGGAATCTTGTAAAGTGCAAATTCTGACCCAGTAGTTCTGTAGTGGAACATTTCTAACAAACTTTCCAGGGAATGCTGATGATGCTGGTATTGGTTCTACACTCTCACTCAGTAGCAAGGTTTAACTAGGTGCAAAAATCTCAAGAGGAAACTGCAAGCTATTTAAGAATAGCTGGCATGGAAATTGCAAGGAATGGGGGTCAGGGACTGTTGTACTGGGTAGAGGGAGAGTAGGAGAGATGAGATTTGTGATGCTGATAATTGCCTAAGGAGATAAATCATAGAGGGATTTACAAGTGAAGAAAAGAAAAAGAAATTTAGAACAGCAAAGAGGGCTTTAGTTAGCAAGTGGAGAAATGGGTTGGAGAGGAACCCTACTAAAAGAAAGGAGACCAACTGAGTTTTTTTTTTTTTCTTCTTCTGTTTAGTAACAGGTGAGAAATGATGGTGGCTTGAACTAGGTGGCCTTACGGCATTCAAGAGCTATTAGAAGAGACGATCACCAACTTGGTGATAGATTTGCTTGGGGTATGAAGGGATTGGAGACACAAGAAAGACAAAGCATGAGGTTATCAGGTTCATTTCAGCTGCCTACAATGCACATATGCTAACAAAGCACATGGAGAATAGCTGCTTATCAATGGTACACATAGGCAGGGCCTTCTCCATCATAGATGCTCCTGCCACTTTTGGCAATTGTTGACTTGTTTTCTTCAAACTACCTTCAAACTGCCTCAATTTCTACTCACTACTCAAGGTCTAGTAGAGAAACACAAAGCCATAAAAGTAAATCAGTACTTCAAAATTTAGCACTCTCTTAGTTTTTCCATTTGTTGTGTGGGGTGTGTTGGCCTTCCCAAATTAGCTATTATTTTCAGAGCAAAGGCCATGTCAAATCTACTGTGTCCACTCCCAAAGTGATGACCAACTAGGTACTTAACACATGCTAGTTGACTATTTGATAGAATAACATCTGGATGATTACATATCAATGTCACTTATTATCTCATAAAATGATGATAAAAATAATAAGACCTATAAGGAGCTGAGTATTTTACATGCATTATAAATCCCATCACCTTCTTTGGTTCATCAGAATCTTCGGAGACCCTTACGTCCAGGCAGTTTGTATAATAACTTGTTTGACTATAGTTTCATTGAATAATTTTTAATAGAGTGGAAGCCTATCTACTTACTGTCAAACTCTACTGCCATCTACTGATCATGCAGTAAGTTAACATACTGTGCGTCCCACTACCTCTATTCACTATTCAATGTTTCCTTCGGACCTCAAGGGCTTTCAATGCTTTAAGCTTCAACCCAGAGTAGATGTAACTTCTAATAGTTTTCTGATATTTTTTTATAGCAATCTAGCATGATATTGACAGTTTTCTCTCATGGGCAAAAAGAGTTTATGCCTTTATGAAATATTAAACATTTTAAAATTCATAGACACAATGATCTTTCATAGGCTTTTACCCCCCAAATAACTAAAAGAAAAAGGTAATGAAATTTCTGAAGAATTTTTCCTTACCTCTAGTAGATATCCTTAAACCGGACATCTATCTTGGTTATACTCCATTTAGGGTATAAATCTTACTCATCCTTCAAGGTCCTCCTTTCAAATGATACCTTCTCCATAAAACTTTCCCTGATTCTTCATCCTGGAATAAATTCTTCCTTCCACAATTGGTAATTGTTATAACGAACCACATAGTGGAAAGACAACAAAAATCCAATTAAAAATAACTTTATAAGTCATTTCCCCTAATTTCCCCTTCTCTATTGGTTACAGTTTTTCTTTTGCAGACAAATAAAATAACTGGACTCCCAGCTGTAACAATCTTATAAGATGTTCTAAGAACTGAACATTTTCAGAAGGGCAAGGACAGAAGCAGAAACGTGTGTTGGATAATCTGATGAGATTTGAGGCAATTTGTCCTTGCTGTGAGGCTTCAGCCAACTCACTGTACTAGACGGTGAGGATTTCAAAGGTTAATTAAGTGACAGTAGACCAGGACTCAAATACGTGCATATTTCACCTCTAATTCCCTATATTAAAATAAAAAATGCCAGTTTAAAAAGGGAGGAGGCACCAAGGAAGGAAAAATTATTTAAGTAATTATCTGGTATAATTTAGGTGTCTGGGAGTAGTTTGGATGACTGTATTTAATGGGGAGGCTGTGCGGTGGTGACCAAAGCCCCAATGCCTTGGATTTCATAGCTCTAAACTGAAGTCCAGTCTGTGCTACAAATTAACTGTGCTTTAGCAGGTCACTTGAGCTTCCTCACAAGGTAAGTTCACTTCCACTTCAGTGCATTGTACGTATTTATACCTAGGTCCCTCTCCTAGGTCTTTGGATGCGTTTCTTTTCTTGTTCAAAGTCACAGCACCTTGGCGCGGCGCTCTCTGGGTGTCTGCAGCGTCCGGCCCTTACATCTGGCGTCTTCTCTGGGGACACAATCACTGATTCCCTCTCTCCCTTGCAATCTCTTCATGGCGAACGGATGAAAATCACAGCAACTGTTGGCAGCCCCGCGCTGTGAAGAGCCGTTGGAGGGCTTACTACCCAAGTTGAGGGAGGGAGGTCGTCCCATCTTCCCCGACCTTTTCAGATATGGAATATTTGAAAGGTGTGAGGCGTGCAGCGGTGGCCATGAAGGCAAAGAAGAGCTTTTTCCTCGTAGGAACTCAAATCTTCGACTTGGGCTGTGTTTCCGGAAACATTCTCTCCGGACCCACGCTGGGACCGACTTCCTGCTGTGACTTCCGGCCTTTGGAGTTTCGAGCTCCGTCGCTTCCGCCCGCAGTTGCTCTAGGTCCGGCTGGGAGCAGCTACTTCCGCCAGGAGTCCCCAGCGGCTCGAACTTGGAAACCGGCCCAGAAACGGCTTCCTCCTTCTCCCCTCAGCTCGTTCACCCAGGCCAGGTCTTCAGCTTGCGGCGGCGGCTGCTGGGCCTGTCGCGGAGCGTCCCTTCTGGCCTGGTCCTGGGTCTGCGGAGGACCAGGAGGCTCGGGAGCAACGCCCCGGCCTGGCCGATCCCGGACTTCCAGCAGCCAGTGACAGTGGCCGCAGGCCTCGCCGAGCCCACCCTGGTCTGGGGCGGGGCCCGGCCTCCCCGCCCCGGACCCCGCCCCTCCGGCCAGCCCTGCACCAGGTCGTTCTCTTCTCCAGTCCTGCGGCGGAGTAACCGCCTCCCTTCTGCGGGACGCGGCAGTCCCCCGGCTCCGGCTGCTGGGGACCATGGAGTTTGCGGAGCTGATTAAGACCCCACGGGTGGACAATGTGGTGCTTCACCGACCTTTCTATCCGGCCGTTGAGGGGACCTTGTGTCTGACTGGCCACCACCTGATCCTGTCCTCCCGGCAGGACAACACGGAGGAGTTGTGGCTCCTCCATTCAAACATCGACGCCATCGACAAGCGGTGAGTGCGCATCCCACCCCCTATTCCGCAGGGGAGCCGGGGTCCTTAGGTGGACCTCTGAGGAAACGCGTCCCAGTGTTTTCCTTGCGTCCAAACCAGCCAGCAGAATGAGCCCTATCTGGCCTAGACGGAGGATTTGAGTTTTAGAAAGCAGAAAATCATCCACGTGAGACCCCTGGTTTCTATTAAATATGGATGGGATCCCCAGGGTTATCGCCTGGTTGTTTTGATTATCATTTTTGGTAGAGAACACTCTTTCAGTGGATTTTCTTTTCAAATTTCTTCTCCTTGCACCATCATATTCCTTGAATATTTATTGTGCATCACAATTCATGAAGTTGTGGTTCAATGTGATATAGGTAAAGTCTTTATCTGTCACTTTTGAGGAAAACTCAACTCAGTATGTTGTGTCTAAATTCCACCCCCACCCCCAAATGTTTAGTTAATCATATTTCTCTTTATTTTGTTTTACCTTCTCTGTCATCTATTTAATACTTCCCACTATGGGAGATAATAATGTCTTTTACTTCTCTTTATTCAGTTCTGCTTTTGGAAAGAACAGAGTTAATGCTTAAGCAAAGATATTAATTAAACATTTTTTTTTTTTTTGCACCCAGACTCTGTCTTTCCAAGGTGGTGTCTCAGATTTTAAAAAAAAGTTATATTCCATCTGCAGTCAAAATTCCTGTTTTCCCAATAGCTGTGTACTTTTAGCCAGGAGAAGGTAAATTGATTATCTAACTTACACTAACGTATAAAGGAATGAGAATAGCTTTTTCTATTACCTATCAAGAGAATTTGGATATTAAGAAGATTCCTAGAGAAGTTATGCCTTAAAAGAAAATAGTTTCTAATGGTGGAATTTGAAATAGTATGGGTGAAGTGGTAATTCAACAGGCCAGTAAGCCAGGACAAGTGGAATAGGGAAACTGAGACAGATAGTTAAACAGCAGTTTGGAGCCGTCTAGTAAGTCTGATCTTCCCAAAACCTGGGACTCTTAAATAAATGGTTTGCACTTCTCCCCAACTAGAAGGTAAATAGTTTAAATCACCCCACTCAGGGAGAGAGCAGAAATTCAATTAGTGTCACTTGCCAACCACGCCCAAGAACAGAGGAAGTTAAGAGAATAAATCTCATTTTGGTACATCAGCATAAAGCTGATGAATAGTTTATTGCAATCCTCTCCTAAGACCTCCCCTAAATGCCCAGACTTTAAAACCCCTCAAAACAGCTCTGGCTGGTGTTGCTCAGTGGTAAGAGTGCCACCCCCTGCACTGAAGGTTAGTGAGTTTGATTACCCTCAAGGGCATGTACTTCAGTTTCCATTCGATCCCTGGCCTTGGTTGGGGCCCATTTGGGAGGCAACCAATCAATGTGCCTCTCTCACATCAATGTTTCTTTCCCCCTCCCTCCCACTCTCTGTAAAAAAAAAAAAAAAAAAAAAAAATCAATGGAAAAAAAATACTCTTGGGTAAGGATTAACAACAACAAAACGCCTCAAAACAAAGGCCTCAGGTGCTCTCTCCCTCCCAGGAGAATGCCTGAACCCCCCACCCCCCACCTTCTTCCCCCACAGACATGCATCTCCTAAACTCTAAGGGACTCCACAAGGCTTGCAACCAGGGCAGCAATGGGCAGTGGCAGTTCATTCTGGGCAAAACCCCTGAACCTGTCCCTAAGGCCCCCTCTTCTCTGATGTCTTAGTGAGCCAAAGCAGAGAAGCTAGGCTCATTTTCCCAGCCCCTTCTTGTTTTGTTGTCCCCAGCTTTAATAAATGTCCTCTAAAATTCACCTGGACTCATGCTATGAAACTTCCTACATGAAGTCGAGAACCCACTCACTACTGGCTGGCCCTAGGCTGACCTGCTCAGGGCCAGATCCCCTTCCTGGTAACAGTAATAGATTTAGTTTTTCAAACAGAGGGCCCCTATTTGACTCACCACATCACCTCCTGGGTAAGGGTTTTCAGTGTTCTCTCCTTGCCTGCATAATAAAATCTGCCATTCATGGCATTCCATGTTGTTCTGTCATCAGACTCCTTTTCCCACCTTAGTTCTTGCCATTCCCTTTCATGACCTTTTTTTTACTAGACAGTCTTCACTCTAGTTTTGCTCATCCACATTCTGCAGTCTCTCTTTTTTTTTTTTAAATCCTCAACCAAAGATATATTTATTGATTTTAGAGAGAGAGTAAGTGGGGGAGAGAGAGAGAGAGAGAAATATACTGACACTGAAGAAAGTAGAAGGAGTCCCTTACTCCTCCCAAATTTCTTAAACATTTATTGAATGTCATTATATTGCAGATATTTTGTGAAGCATTAAGGACACCAAGATGAATAAAATATAGCTCTTTAAGGAGTTTATAGGCTATCATTCAGTTGATACCCATCTATCAGTATTCAGTTTAACCATTTCAACTGCCATCTCTTTCACAGATTCTTCTGTTAGTCCTACAACTAGAAGTAATTCTCCTCACCTTGAAATTCTGTAGCTCTTTAAGTATACCTCTTTCATATGTGTATATTAAAATTTCTATTTGGATAGTTACATATGTTAGTCCCTTGAAGCCAGGACTCACATTTCATTAATTTTTATGTCCTTCAAAATTTCTAACTGTGGCTTGGGCAGATAGGCACATAGGAAATAAAAGAAGGAATGGTCAATGGTACAATTGAATACAAATTAGTTTCTCCATGCAATCAACTCTTTTTTTCTCTCTAATTTACCTCTTTACTCTGATTGCTCTTCACTCTTGCATTTCATCATATTTACCTAGCATTTACTATATGCTGGGTCTGGTAGAGCTTAAGGTAGTATATATAACATGGGCCTTTTAATCTGCTGGGGGATAAATAACAAACTGTACATACATTTGTCCTTTTCCTGGGGAGGAGCATGATGTAATGGAAAGAGCATGAGCTAGGTGGTAAGATCACAGGTTGTTTGTTGCTTTCTTTTTTATTTTAATCCTCACCTTAGGATATTCTTCTGTTTAACTTTAGATGGAGAGGAAGGGAGGGAGGGAGGGGGAGAGAGAGAGAGAGAGAGAGGGAGAGAGAGAGAGAGAGAGAGAAACAATGTGAATAGTTGACTGGTTGCCTCCCACACGACCTCCACCAGGACCAGGGACAAACAGAAACCCAGGTCCCTGCCCTTGACCTGAATTGAACCCGTGACTCATTGGTCCTCCAGTGACTCTCTAACATCTGAGCCAAACCGGCCAGGGCTGTTTGTTGCTTTCAAGAAACATTTACTTCCACATGTCTTCTATGTACTGAGCACTGTCGGGGCCCTGCAGATGCAGTGGTGACTAAAACAGATGAGGAGATTATGTACTAGTGGAAGAGATGGATGTTCAGATCACTCAACAAATAAATACATAACAATGTCAGGTAATAAGTGCCAGGAAGGAAAATAAAGAAGATGGGAGGATCGAGAATGCCAGGAAGACAAGTGACATTTGAATGAATGACATCTGGATGAAGAGAGGAAGCTAGCACTGTGAATATCAGAGGAAAGAGCATTTCAGCCAGGGAACAGTGGATACAAAACCTGAAACAGGAATATGCTGGCATGTACAAGGAAAAATAAAGGGGCCAGTGTGGCTAGAGGGCAGAGAACGAGGGGTACATGCTAGGGGAACAGCAGAAACTGGTTGGGGGATAAGCAGGGGCCAGATCATGTAGGGCATTATATGCCATTGTAATGGTTTTCATGGGAAGCGAGTTAAAAGCATGGAAGTAGCAGTTGATAGACTTTTTAGAAGATGATTCTGGCTGCCAGCAGAAAATGGATTCTAGAGAAGCAGATCCATTCCAGGAGTGGAAGCAGCACAGCAGGCCCAGTTAGGAGACTGTTGAGTAGTTCCGGTAAAAAGTGATGGTGACTTAGAGTGGAAGTAGTGGAGAAGCAGACAGATTTGGTGTGTATTTCAAAGGCTGAGCTGCCTGCCGTGCCTTGCTGGTAATTGTAAATGGGGTGTGAGAAGAAGAGCAGTATATTAAAGATGGCTCTTTCAGTTTGCCTCTTATTAGGCAGGTACCCTTAACTTCTGTGAACCTCAGTTCTACCACATAAGAGGAAGACAGTCCCTCTCATATCTAGTAGAAACATATTTGAATAATGCTTTACACACTTATAAAATACTTTCATGTATACTGCGTACATAAATGTATTTGATCCTTTCAGGAGACAAGACTGTACACAAGATTTACAGTTGTACTTATTTTTTCTTTTTATGGACCTCAGATATAGACAGTTGAGTTAATCCTACTCAGTTGATGACTCATCATTTTCATGATTGATTCATTACAAGGTTTTCTCAGTGTTTTATTCTTCTTTAGCCCTAATTTTCCTTAGAATTTTCCACATCATCCTCAATCTCTGTAGGTAACTATGCTAAGTGTTGTCCTTGGATATATGTATATCCCTATAAAATATATAGCACTGTTGTGTGTGGGTGTGTGTGCACATGCGTGTGTGAGTTTAATTTACCTGAGTATGATCACGTTGTAGATTTTGTTCTGTTTCTCAACATTTTAACTCAGTACTCTTTTTGAAGATCTTTTCATATTGCTCTATGTACATCTATTTCACTGCTTCTGACTGTAGCATAGAATTCCAAAGTTTATACAACATTTATCATATAACCTCCAATTCCCTGTTATCACAAACAACTCTGATAGATGTACTCATTTGGGTCCCATTATTGTCCTGTGCAAGAGTTTCTCTGAGATTGTGCCTCGGATGGGATGGAGCTAGAAAGTAGATGCATAATTTGTTTCACAAAGTAATGCTAGATAGCTCTCCAAAATGACTATTCTACTTTGCCCTCCCACATTCTTACCAATATTTGGCATTATTGTCTTCCTAGTTTTTGCCAGTCTGATAACTGTGAAATATATCTCTTTGTTTTAATTTGTATTCCTCTAATTACTAGTGAGTTTAAGTATTTCTTTATATATTTGTTAGCAATTCAGTTAAAATTGTTTTCTTTTCTGTGAAAAACTTGGTTTGTTGTCTTTGTCATGTTGATTTGTGACAGTTTCTTGTCTACTCTCTAGATATTAATTCTTCACTTCAATACTGCAAATGTCTCCTAGTCTCTCACCTATTTGTTAACTTTCCTGTCTTGTCCTTTGTTGAACGGAAGTCCTTAATTTTAATGCAAAAATTGTCAGTTTTTAACTTTATGGTTTGTGCTTTATAAGTTTTAATTAAGAAGTCCTTCCTTATCCCAAGGTCTCTAGATATTCTCCTACTTTTTCTTCCATATTAGCTTTATAGTTTTAGCTTTCATTTTTAGGTCTTTAATTTTGTATGGATTCTGCCTTTGTTTCAATTGTGACGAAAGTCCAACTTTGTTTTTCTGCATGTAGCAAGTCTGTTTTCCTAAACCATCATCTTACAGCCCATCCTTGACTGATTTTTCATGTCAGGTGGTTTTATATATATGTATATGTAATATAGAGAACTTTCACTGTGTCCTGTAAGTTTTGTAATGTTGTGTTCTTGTTTTCATTTGTATTTTCTAAGTTCCCTTGTGACTTCTTTGATCCATTGGTTGTTTAAAAGTATGTTGTTTTATTTTCACAATTTTGTGCATTTCCCAGTCTTTCTTTTGTCATTGATTTCTAACTTTATCCCATTGTGATCACAGAAGATACAGGCAAACCTTTTTTCATTACGCTTCACAGTTGGATTGTAACTTGTTTTATTGTAATACTTGCTTTATTATGGTGGTCTGGAACCAAAATTGCAGTATCTCCGAGGTATGCCTGTATTCGCTTTATATGGTGGTTTGGAACCGAACCCACAATATCTCCAAGGTATGCCTGTACCTTGTGTGATAGCTGTCTTTTTAAATCTATTTCTTACTATTTACATGTAATATCTTTCTCTGTCCTTTCACTTTCAACCTGTTTGTATCTTTGGCTCTCAGCTGAGTCTCTTATAAGATAGCATATAGTTGGATCATGTGTGTAATCTCTGTGTTTTAATTGTAGAGTTTAACCCATTTACATTTAAAGTACCTGTAGCAAGTCCTTGAATAACATGATTTTGTCCAGTGTTGTTTTGTTATAACATTGATGAGATGGTGTAGGAACTTAACTCTTGTTTATATTAATTAGTTTATGGTAAAATTGGCTTTATTACACATTGTTTTACTTAAAGTCACAGAACCTGTTGATGACATTAAGTGAGGACTTACTGTATTGATAAGGAGGGACTTCTTGTGTTATATGTTTTCTATATGTCTTATAGCTTTTTTGTCCCTCATTGCCTGAATTACAGTCTTTTGTATATAGTTGATTTTTTTTTGTAGTGAAATGTTTAAATTCCTTTTTCACTTTTGGATACATTCTGTAGCTATTGTCTTTGTGACTACAATGGGAATTACATTTTACATCCTAAAGTTATAATACTCTAATATGAAGTTATATCAGCTTAACTTCTATAACATGCAAAACTCTACTCCTTTACAGCTCTGTCCCCACCCCTTTTCATTGTTAATGTTATAAAATAACATCTTTATACATTGTGTTCCCCAAAACAAAAACTAGTAATTAATGCAATGCATTAGTCTCTTAAATTATGTAGAAAACAAAATTGGAGTTACAAACCAAAGTTACAGTGATGCAGTAATATTAGCTTTTACATGAATAATTATTTTCCTTTAAGCGTATTAATCTGTTAAATCATGTGGAAAACAAAAAGTAGTTACAAACATTGTTACAGTAATACTAGCTTTTATAAGAAAGCCCAACTAATGTAATATTAAATTTGTACAAAATTTGTAAATTTACTGATACAAAATTTATGATTAGATATGACATTGATGTAGAATAGTTTGCAAGTTAATAGTTTTTAAAGACTGAAAAAGATATTTATATTTAAAATCAACTGCTGCAAGCTTGGAAGTAAGTAAAATCTCAAATGAACTTTTCCTATGCTTCAGAAATATCTCCATACAAATAATATATATGTATATTTTTTAAATTAAATTTATTGGGGTGACATTGGTTAATAAAATTTTCTAGGTTTCAAGTGTACAGTTCTATGATACATTATCTGTATATTGCATTGTGTGCCCACCACCTAAAATCAAATCTTCTCTCTTCACCATATATTTTACCCCCTTTATACTTTACCACTCCCCCCTTTCCCTCTGGTGACCACCATACTGTTGTCTGTGTCTATGACAAACACTTAATATATTAATTACAGATATATATATATACATATATATATATATGTATATATATATTTGCTATTCTTTGAAGTAAGGCCCCAAATAATCTTTGTTATAAATTACTTTATATTTGAGAAGGTTTTCAATATATATATTTTAAATAATTTTTATGATGTAGGCTTGACTTTTTCTTAATTAGACTAACTAGGGAGACAAAAGTTGAATATAGATGGTGATTATAACTACATTCTCTTTTCACATAACTAATTATATGCTTAAAGTTAGAAATGTAGATGTTCCAAAGCATAATTTATAATTTATTACAGATTTGTGGGACCACTGGGCACCATCATCATAAAGTGTAAAGATTTTCGAATAATTCAGTTGGATATTCCTGGAATGGAGGAATGTTTGAATATAGCCAGTTCCATTGAGGTAAGTATTTTGGAAGCAAAATGTGATAAAAATAAATAGTAATAAAAAGAAACCTTGTATTCTGACTCAGTGTAGCTTTTATGTTTCTTCATTAGATATCTGGCCATGTTCTGTGACTCCAGTATTGAAGACTAATGGGAAAAGCTTTGTTTGCCCTGATTCATTGTTTTAGGAATGTAATGGGATTTTACTGATGTATAGTAGTATAGGGTTACTTATTCTTCCAGGTTCATCCATATTTGGCATGTGACAGAATTTCCTTATATTTTAGGGCTGAATAATATTCTACTGTAGGTATATATATGGTGAGACCTTTTTTTAAAGCTATTTTTTTAATAAAGCAAGTAATAATTACTAATGATTATTGTCTGTTTTTAGTAAATCTGAATTTCTATATATCAGATTTGCTTAAGACAGGGTGTGTTTGTTTTATATTTGTATAAATAGTATTGAATATCTGTTCAGATTATAAGTAATGGAAATTTTACTTGGATAATTTAATCTTTAAATTGAAGAACTCACAATATTCTTCCCAATTCTAATCAACTATATTGGTATAGTTGGCAAAATTTAAATTGCCTTATTTTAAATCACTGCCACTAAAATATTGCAATTAACTTTATGTTTATAATATTTTCTAGATATAGAGACATGCTGATTTTTTTTTTTTTTTTTTGTCTTTAAGTGACTGATGTGGGCTTTGTGTCCAAAACAAATGCTTTTGCCTTAACTATTAAAAGGGAGCAGAAAGGCTTAAAAATCTGTAACTAGGATTTGTTTTTTTAAACAAAAATAGAGAAATAAAGGAACAACTGTTGTGGTACTGGGAAAATTGTTATGCAACATTTTTCTGTCTTTGCTAAACTTTACTTAAGGAAATGAGAAGATGAGCCAAACTCTCATATATCTGTCATTTGGAAGTAACACAGTAATGTTGACTTGGCTTAATTTGCTTTTCTAACTTGTAAGATAGCTGGTTGGTGGGTGTTAGTGAAGTTGCCCACGGTGAAGCATAGTGGTGAAGAAACAGAGCAAGGCTTTCTGATAGCATTTGCTTAGCTTTGTTAGCATCTGACACTAACCAGTTGTTCACTTAGCTGTAGATATTACCTGATGTTCTATAGACAATGACTGATTATATAGAAGCCCTTACAGCTGAAAAGAAGCCATAAATTATGAGCCATTCTCATAATTTGACATCAGAAGGTAAATGCTGTATTGTTTTCAGTTTAGTAAACACATATAGTGAACTTGGCCTCTAGCCTTTTACTGCCTTCCAATTCCCCTTCCCCAGTACATTTTGACATAATTTAGCAGTAATAAGTGAAATTCTTATATACATAGTTGAACTATTCTTTGTCATCAAGTGTCCATATGCCCAAATATATTGTTGCTACAAATAGAATCCCATTGAAAGGTAACTGGCAAATGCTCAGTTTTCTAAATTGTAGCAGGAAGTCTGATGAAGCTTTTTTTCTATGTACTTTCAACTGCCTTTTGGGGTTGAAATGTTTTTAATTCTTTCAGCATTAATGTGTTTAAAAGAAAAGTTCTATCTCTAGTTATATAAAATATAATCAAAAGTGTTTATTGCCTGCCAGAGTGGTTCTGACTTGCATTTAAAATAATGCTTGTATCAGCCACAATGGAAAGCAGTATGGAGGTTCCTCAAGAAATTAAAAATAGAACTGCCATATGATCCAGCAATTCTACTTCTGAGTATATATCAAAGGGAACAAAATCATTATCTCAAAGAGATGCCTGTACTCCTATGTTCATAGCAACATTATTCATAATAGCCAAGGTATGAAAGCAATCTAAGTGTTTATTGATAAATGGTGGGGGGCGGGGGGATAGTATTCAACCGTAAAAAAGAAAGTAATCTGCCATTTTTGACAACATGAATGAACCTGGAGGGTATTATGCTAAGTGAAATAAACCAGACAAAGACAAATACTGCATGGTATCACTTATATGTGGAATCTGAAAATGTAAAGCCAAACTCATAGAAACAGAGAATAGAAAAGTGGTTGCCAGGAGCTGGGATATGGGGAAAACAGGGAGATGTTGGTAAAAGTTACAAACTTCAACTATAAGATGAATAAGGTCTGAGGATCTAATGTATAATATGGTGACTACAGTTGATAATACTGTATTGTTTCATTGAAATTTACTAAGAGTCAACTTAAATATTCTCAAAAACAACAGCAAAAGGTAATGTGAGGTGATGGTGTGTCACTTCAATGGAGGGGAGGGATCCCTTCACAATGTGTATGTATTATGTGGTACACTAAATATTTTACAGTTTTATTTTTCAGTTGTATCTCAGTAAAGTTAACATTTTTAAAAAAATGTTGCAAAGAATCTCTTACAAATGAATGAATGAATGAATGAATGAGATAATGGTTGAACTGACCAATGACAGCTCTGGCCTATGTCAGATGTGGACACTGTCTTTTCTGCTTCTGTTTGGTGTGATTGGCAGCCAAAGACAATATAGAAGTAGATATGGATTAGCGAACCATGCTTCTCATATTTTCTGCTTTATGAGCTTTGGAGGGAAGGCTTCATGATTTATGGACAGATAGAAAAATAACTTTGGATAGGGATGATATTGTTAAACCAGTGAAGGACATGTTCAGTCTATCTTTTAATAAGTCGTGTGCCCATCCTTTCATGTCTGATTTTTCTGTGACCTAGAAGGAGGTAGCTTCATTCCGAGAGTTTGAGGGTAATAGCATGATATCGGGCCCTCTCCTCTAGGTGTATGTCTCTATAATTACTGCAGTTTGAATTACACTAATTGATTTTGGTGCTTTTCTCTTTGGAAATACTTCCATAATTCTCGTCAGAAGGATGAAACTGCCACATACTGGAGGATGTTCTGTCTGTCTGTTCCTCCTGTCTAGTCAGGTTTTCTGGTGTTGCCATCAGAATTCAAGTGCTGCAGATGAATATAGGCCCATTGTGGGACTGCAGAGTTATTGTCCTGGCTTGAAAATGGGTCATTGTAGCATAAAGATATGCAGATACCTGACCAAATGGCATATCACTCTAGGTAGGGAATGAGTATTGGTGGAGCATATAATGTGGAACATGTAAAGTTATTTTAGAGTTTCTTATGTGCCAGGCACTGCTCTAGGTCTATTACACACATTCTCTCTCTTAATGCCCCTAACAGCCCTATGAGGTAGGCACTGTTATTTCCTCAGTTTTATAGCTGAGGAAACTGAGGCATGGAGTAGTTACAAAACTTAATTACTGTTGCACTGGGGTCTGGAATTTGAGTCCAACAGTCTGACTGCAGTCTGGGTCTTTGGCCACTAAGCTATATCACCCTATTTTATAGTTACTCTCAGATGCTGATTTTAAAATAATTTACATATGTTTATATAGTTGATAACTAGATTTTGAGCCAAGGCTTTACTGACTACCAAAACCTGTTTTTTCTCTGATTCCCAAAAATATTTTGACCATTTTATTAGGCTTTATTAAATGATGTTAGGAAGGAGTTATTTCATTTTTCTCCTAGAATTTTAAAATTCCTCTGTTCATTTAGCAAATGGTAATTGAATGTATGTTATGTGCCAGATAGGACCTTGTTAGATGCTGGAAGCAGGGTCATTAGCTTTAATAAGCTATAATTGTATCTAATGATAAATATAGTGATAGACAAATATGTCCATCATTATTAGGTCATATTTGTTTAATACCAATTTGGCCATTAGAAAATGTTTCAGCCCTGGCCAGTTTGGCTCAGCGGTTAGAGCGTCGGCCTGCGGTCCGGAGAGACCTGGGTTCGGTTCCCGCTAAGGGCACGTACTTCGGTTGCAGTTTGTCCCCGGCCCTGGTTGGTCGTGAGGGTGGCAGCCACTCGATGTGTCCCTTCACGTCGATGTTTCTCTCTCTCTCTCTCTCCCTTCCTCTCTCTCCCTCCCACTCTATCTGTACAAAAAATGGAAAAATATCCTCGGGTGAGGATAAAAAATAAATAAAAAAAAAAAAAGAAAAGAAAATGTTTCAAATTGTGGTATGTTCCTTTTTCCTTTCTTTATTTCCTTTTTTACCCACTAGGCATTGTCTACCCTGGACTCCATCACCCTGATGTACCCTTTCTTTTACCGGCCCATGTTTGAAGTGATAGAAGATGGCTGGCACTCTTTCCTTCCTGAGCAAGAGTTTGAACTCTACTCTTCAGCTGTGAGTAACTTTTGAGAGAACTATTGGTAATGAGAAATAACCCAACACCTTACTTTGTTTATAAAAATGGTCACTTCCTTTTGATGAGTAATAAGGTGCATTTGATTTACTCAAGCTTTTTCTCACTGAACTCAGTGTCCCACCATGTCCTGGTTTCTCTTCTTAGCAGGACAGTCAGTTTGTCATCGATTCTCTTAAAATATGGTACCCATAACACTTAGTGTAGATTGGAACTATTACTAATACTTTAAGGTAGCCTTAAGTTGCATTGACCTTTTGAGAATTATTAATGAAATAAACTAAAATTCCTACATCTCTGCACATGTGTTATTAAGAGATCCTCCCTGTGTTTTTGTGGTTTTATATATTTATCTATTTTTTCTTAGTTTCCGTACTTAGGCACCTGCATTTTGGTTTGCCTAATTATTTAAGCAATTTGTATATTTGAATTTCTGTTATATTTTCCTGCAAATTTTGTAGGCCAGATTTAATGAGATCATAGTTATGCCTTGATTTGAGGTGTAATCTTACTGTTGCTAGATTATAGAAATCTAAAATGATCAAAGCATGGTCTCTTCCTTATACTTGTTCAAAGTCTAATAATTATCTAAGTACGATAAAATAAGTGCTAGCAAAAGTATCCACAAGCACAGAAGAGATTATATTATCAGATTTGTATTATAGAAAATCAATTCTGATGCAAAATGCTGAGTAACTGCTTAAGAGGCTACTATAATAATATAAAGATGACGGTTGGATCAATAACAGAGGGGTTATGGTGTTATGAATAAGAGATTCATTTTGTATAGATAGGTTGAAATGAATGGATGGAAAAAATATGTCATGAAAACAGTAAGCATAAAAAGGTAGAGGTAGCTGTATTAGAAGACTTCAAAACACAGATTATCAATTAATAGAGTCATTTCATAATAAAATTAATCTTGTAGATATAACTATATATATATATATATATATATATATGCCTGATAGCAAAATTAATGGAAATGAAGGAAGAAATGAACAATTGTATGATTATAGTAGGAGACTGTTAAAACTGCCCTCTCAACAAGTAATAGAAGTACTCGACTAAAATAAAACAACAAAACTAGAGACATAGAAGGTCTGAACAGCACTATCTGATATTTACAGAATGCTATTCTCAATTTCTTCAGAATAAACAGTATTCAAGAACACATGAGAGACCATATGCTGAGGTATTAAATAAATCTCAAATTTTCAAGGATTGAAACCATACAGAACATAATCTCTGACCACAAAGGAATTGAATTAAAAATTAATAACTCTAACATATTTAATATTACCCAGAGTATTTCTAAATCAATTGAAATACTTGCAAATAATCTATGTGTCAAAGATGAAATCATAAAGAAAATATTTTGAACCCTATGATAATGAAAATTCAAAATATCAAAATTTGTGGAATAGAGCTGAAGCAAGTTTAAAGAGAAACTCGCAGCTTTAAAGTGCTTTTAACAAAAATTGCCAATTTAAGCTCCAAATTAATATGCCGGGGGTGGGGCAAAATAACTAGAAAGAATGAAATAATAAAAATAAGAGCAGAAATCAATAAAATAACTAGAACTAATGAGCAAGTTTAACAAGGTTGCTCAGTGCAAGTATATAAAAACTAATTGTATTGACAACAATATAGTTATTGACAATTGGCAACAAGCAATCTGAAAATAAATAAAATACTTAGGAATAAATTTAATTAAAGAAGTGCAGGATCTATACACTGAAAAACACAAAACATTGCTGAGAGAAGTTAAAGGCTATCTAAATAAATGGAGAGATATATCATGTTTATGAATTAGAAGATGATGTGGTTAAGATCAGTAGTGGGCTGATGTATGTAAAGGACCAGATAGTAAACATTTCAGGCTTTGTGGCTCATGCAGTCTCTGTTAGAACTACTTCACTCTACTGTTGTAGCATGAAAACATCAATGATAATACACTAATGTGATACTCTTGGTGTGATAATACACCAATGTGGTACTATGTTGTAATAAACTTTATTTACAAAAATAGGCAATGGGCTGGATTTGGCTTAAAGACTATAGTTTGCCAACCTCTACAAAGATGACTATTTTCTCCTAATTGATATATAGATTCATTGCAACTCCTTTCAAAATTCCAATGGATGTTTTTGTAGAAATTGACAAGATTATCCTAAAATTTATATGAAAATGCAAAGTTACCAGAATAGACAAAATAACTTTGAAAAATAGTTAAAGGATTTACATTACTTGATTTGAAGACTTACTATAAAGCAATAGTAATCAAGAGAGTGTGGTCCTGCCCAGCTGGGTTGAGCATTGACCCATGCACCAAGAGGTTGCTGATTTTATTCCCGGTCAGGGCACATGCCCAGGTTATCGGCCTGATCCCCATTTGGGGACATGCAGGAGGCAGCCACTCCATGTTCTCTCTCATCGATGTTTCTATCTCTCCCTTTCTCTCTAAAAATCAATAAAGAAAAAATATTTTTTTAAAAAAGAGAGAGAGTGTGTGCTCCTAGCATAAGGCTAGACATATAGGTCAATGGGGTAAAATAGAGGGTCCAGAAATAAACTCTCCTGTTTGTGGTCAATTAATTTTTGCCAGAGGTGTCTAGACAATTCAGTAGGAAAAGGATAGCTTTTTCAACTAGTGGCACTGGATCCACAAAAATTAAGTCAAAAGGTATTATAGACCAAAACATAAAAGTTAAAACGACAAAACTTTTTAAAGAAAACACAGGAGAAAGTCTACATGACCTTTGATAGAGACAAAGATTTCTTAGATATGACACTAAAGTGACTGAAAGCAGATTAGTGATTTCCTAGTGTTGGATGTAGAGGTAGAGATATGGACTGCAAAAATATACAAGGGATTTTTGTGGGAGATGATTGAAATGCTTATTTTCTTGATTGTGGTGGTGATTTTATAGATACATACAACTGTTAAGACTCATGAAATCATGTGCTATAAATGGATTTATCTTTTTATATAAATAACAAAACCTCAATAAAGTTGATTAAAAGAAAATAATAATTTAATGTAAATATTTAGTAGCTGATTTGAAGCAACTAAAGAGAGAATTAGTGATCTGGACTATATATCTGAATACATATACTCAGAATATAGAACAGAGAAATAAGGACAATGGAAAAATCATAGAGAAGTTAGATAATTTCATGGATGATACTGGGAGAAGATCTGATACTTATTAAATGGGAATTCAAGAAGAAGATAACAGAGGAAATGGAAGAAAGGCAATATTCAAATAGGTAATGGTTGATAATTTTTCAGAATTAATGAAAGTCACGAACCCTTAGATTAAGGTATCCCAGCAAACACCATGCAGGATAATCAAAAAGCAATCTTTAATTAGATGTGTTGGGTCTAACTATCAAACAGTTAGACAAAAAGAACATCAAAATTAGCCAGAGAGAATACAAATTACATACACAGTATAACAAAATTAGAAGAAGAAAAAAATAATTTGATAAAATTAAACATTTATTCATGATAAAAACTCTTAGCAAAGTTGAATTTATTTAATCTGATAAAGGGTAACTCAAGACCAAAAAATACAAAAAGCAAATCTTTAATCATTCCCTTTAAGTTAAAGAGTGAGACAAGAATGCCCCACCATCACTACTCATAGCCAGTTCAGTAAGTCAAGGAGCAAAACTGAAAAGTATAAGGATTGAAGTGAAAGCAAAATTGCCATTTTGTGATCATACACTTGTCTGCATAAGAAACTGAAAGAATCTTAAGATTATAGGCATTTGTCTATACTAAACACAAATTTGAAAACATAAATGGAATAAAACTATAAGGGTTTTAGGAATATATCTAAGAAAGATATGCAAGACCTTTATTGAAAGATTTATAAAACTTTATTGAAAAAAAATTAAAGCTTTAAAAAGTAGGGGGACACTGCTCATGGACAGGGAGATTGAACATTGAAAAGAGGTAACTACCTTCAAATCCATCTATAAAGTCAATACATAGAATTTGATAATAGTTACATGAAAGAGCAAAGGACCAAGAGGAGCCAAGGCACTCTGAAGAACAGAAAGAAGGGAGAAGGAGACTTAGCCTACTAAATATCAAGCTTATGCTACAAGCTGTGAGACTTAACTACAAATAAACTAGTGGGACAGAATAGAGAGTCCTATGTGTGTGGAAATTTAATATATGACAGAAGTAGCACTGCAGATCAAAGGAGAATCATATCATTCTCCCAGGTAGTAAATAAGTAATAGCTAATAGTGAGAAATCAGGAAGTAACAATAAAGTCATGTTATTTAGAAATTTGTAGGTAAGCACACACACACAGAAGCTAAAAGAATTGATAATGGTTGCCCCTGGGGAAAGGGAATTAGGACATGGGTAATCAGGGAACACGTAATTTCCTTTTTTTATATCATGGATCTTTTAGAAATTGTCTTTTTAAAATTGATAACATGGCCCTGACCAGGTAGCTCACTTGGTTAGAGTGTCATCCTGATACACTAAGGTTGAGGGTTCAATCTCTTGTCAGGCAATATACAAAAATGAATGAATGAATGAATGAATGAATAAGTGGAACACCAAATTGATGATTCTCTCTCAAATCAGTAGATAATAAATAAATAGTAACATGGATAACTTTGAAAAGTGAAAAATGTAATTAAAAATTAGATTGTATCTTGTAAAAGCGTTTTAAAAATATACTTGTCCTACAGTACATGTAACAAGCTTCTCTTTTAACCTCCTGGTACTGCAACCCATGACCAGTATGTTTTACAGGAACTCTGGGCCAACTCTGTTTACAAGAACATATTGAAACGTACATATACATCATTTTATTAATTTTACTATAAAAAAGTTTTTATAGTCTTCAAGTGGTTTTCATTCTTTTAAATAATTTTTTTTTTTTTTTATCCTCACCCGAGGACATTTTTCCATTTTTTGTGCAGATAGAGTAGGAGGGAGAGAGAGGAAGGGAGAGAGAGAAACATCGACGTGAAGGGACACATCGAGTGGCTGCCACCCGCACGACCAACCAGGGCCGGTGACAAACTGCAACCGAAGTACGTGCCCTTAGCGGGAACCGAACCCGGGTCTCTCTGGACCGCAGGCCGACGCTCTAACCGCTGAGCCAAACTGGCCAGGGCTTAAATAATTTTTTAATTGATTTTTAGAGAAAGAGGAAGAGAGAGAGAGAAGCATCGATTGGCTGCCTTCTTTGCACCCCCTTCCTGGGGATTAAGCCCGCAAGCCAGGCATGTGCCCTGACCAGGAATTGAACCAGCAACCTTTCAGTGCATGGGACAGTATCCATCCAACTGAACCACACCAGCCAGAGCAGTTTTCATTTTGATAGTTGAAATAAGTTGTGATTTGATAGTTGTATATTATATACTTTTACTTCTTGGCATACCAAGTTAGAAATTATTTCACATACCCGGCTGGTGTGGCTCAGTGGTTGAGCATTGACCCATGCACCAAGAGGTTGCCATTTTGATTCCCAGTCAGGGCACATGCCCAGGTTGAAGGCCAAATCCCCAGTGCGGGACATGCAGGAGGCAGCCAGTTGATGTTCTCTCTCATCAATGTTTCTATCCCTTTCTCCTTCTCCCTTCCTCTCTCTAAAAATCAATGAAAATATATTAAAAAAAAAATTATTTCACGACTCCCAAATATAACCTTTCTTAGTATTGTCATTATTCTTTTAAGAAAGATATTACTTTCTTAAAAGAAATATGAGCCAGTGTGGCTCAGTGGTTGAGTATCAACCCATGCACCAAGAGATTGCTGGTTTGATTCCCAGTCAGAGCACATGCCCAGGTTGTGGGTCTGATCCCCAGTGGGGGGCATGCAGGAAGTGGTCAGTTGATGTTCTCTCTCATCGATGTTTCTGTCTCTCTCTCTCTCTCTTCCTCTAAAATCAATAAAGGAAAAAAAATTAAAAAGAAAAAAGAAAGATGTTACCAATCTTGCTACATTTTTCTCCTTTTTTAAATAATAGAAAGGAACAAGGGATTTGAAATAAGTAGTAGCTCCACTTTCATCTGTTCTGGTTCAGCACTGTCTAAAGTATTATAGTCTTTCCATTGCTATGCTTTAAGAGTACCATTAACAAAGGAAATAGTACTTAGAAAAGGGTGCATGAGATGATGTTGTCTCTGATAGTCATGGATACATTTAATACATTTAACTTGGAGAATAGGAGACTGAAGGAGAAACAACTGTCTTGCACACATTTGATAGGATGCCGTGTGAAATAGGGAACTTGTACTGAAATCATCATGAAAACCAATAGAGGAAGTTGTAGAGCAACACATTTCGATAAATATGAGGAAGAACTTTCTAGGAACTGGGGATGTGTAGCATTGCAGGAAGCTGACTAAAGAATAAAGTATTTCTTTTCTCTGAAAGTATTGAAGTATGAGATAGGTATCCTTCTGTTATTCCTGAGATGGCTTCATTGTATGAAAGTAGATCTCTCAGGTCCTTTAACATTTTTCAGTTTATTTTGTGACATTGAGATACCTGCTTAGCTTTAAAGTATTTTGTGTTTTGCAGACCAGTGAATGGAGGTTAAGCTATGTCAATAAGGAATTTGCAGTCTGCCCCTCTTACCCGCCAATTGTCATAGTGCCCAAATCCATTGATGATGAAGCTCTTCGGAAGGTGGCTCCCTTTCGGCATGGAGGCCGCTTCCCAGTACTCAGCTATTACCACAAAAAAAACGGAATGGTAAGTGCACGGTACTGCTGCTTAGTCTACTGAAAGACTTGGTGTGAGGATTTTCCTTAGAAATGTTTCCTTTTTCTGTGTACCTATCCGTTGAAGTGATTAGTGTCTCCTGCTAGGACTTCTTTCTTCATTTTTAGTTTAAACTTTAGGGAATTGGGTGAAGAGTGTTTTCTGTGCTCAGTGTGTGACTGAATTCTTCCCATGATGCTGCTCAACCTTAGAAAAGTCCAGATAGGTTTCTCCTCAGGACTCTGAACAAAGGGAACTAATGTTCATGTGCTGTTTAAAATAACACTCTTAGGCAGAAATACAAATTTCTCTGACCAAAATAATGGTAAGATACTTTATTTTAATTATTCTTACCAAATTTCCCTATGAAAGGTAAATTGAGCAGATGTTTTTATTTTCAAAAGGGAGAAGAGCGACACATGTCAGTAGTCACGACTTAAGTAAACAGGGCATCGGGAATTGAATAGGCAAGAGCTCGCTGTGCATTTGTTCCCTGAATATTTTCTAAATCAGTTTCTCTCCTCTTTTACTTTCTCTCTGTCAGTAAACTCTACTTCATTTTGAGACCAATAGTAAGGTAGTGGATAAATTATAGATACCTTCCAGTTCCTTTCCCCCTGGTACTAAGTCAAACATGGATATGTAGGATAGAAAGATTCCCAAAAATCTGCTACTTTGGCATCAGGCAACCTATTCTGCTTGCTCAATTGTATATCTTTTTAATAGGATTCATTATAAAGCATTTTAATAGTCGATGTTAAATATTCTGTATTCATTTATATGTGAGAGTTAGCTATTTTCATCCTCTGGATGACCTTTCTTGATCATGTTAAATTTCAAGGTAGTTAAGATAACAATACATACTATGGCATAATGTTGAAATAACTTTAAGCCATTTACCTGGGAAGGGATCAGCATAATAATTATTGATTTCTTGAGAAAAGTTTCAGAAGTAAGCTTTTCAAAATATATAGTTGGGCCCTGGCCAGTGTGGCTCAGTTGGTTAGAGCATCGTCTTAAGCACCAAAGTTTAATTTCTGGTCAGGGCACATCCACAGGTTGCACGTTTGATCCCTAGTTGGGTTGCGTCCAGAAGGCAAATGATTGATGTTTCTTCCTCACATCGATGTTTCTCTCTTCCTCTCTTTTCCTCTCTCTCTAGAATCAATGAAAAACATATCCTCAAGTGAAGATTAAAATACAGATACATATAGTTGGTAGTATTTACAGTCCCTGGAATACTGAAAAGGTTGGAAGAGGGCCACTGGAGGATAAATAATAACAAGCAGCTTTCATGATATTGAAAATGATTCTCCAAACAAGAATAATGGATAAACTTGTTTTATTTTGCCATTGGTGCTTTTTTCTTTATTAATTCTTGCCAACCCTAAGTTTCTGTCGTTGAAACAAATGTTTGCTGGTAAATAGGGCATTATTATTATCTTTATTAAAAGGCTAGTCAGCTGGATACTTATTCACTGTCTAAATGAATTGTAATATCTTAAAGAGGAACTATAACTTATTATGTGAAAGTATTTTGAGATAATGGAAAGAAAAACTATTTGAAAGTACAAGGTATATTTTTGTTTTACATTTATTAACTTTGTCAATACATAGAAATATGTCTTTATTTTAGGACCAGATCCATCTCCAAAGTGTCACACAATTGTTTTTGAAATATTCTTTTTTTTTTTTTTAATCCTCACCCGAGGACATTTTTCCATTTTTTGTTCAGGTAGAGTGGGAGGGAGAGAGAGGAACAGAGAGAGAGAGAGAAACATCGATGCGAAAGGAACACATCGAGTGGCTGCCACCCGCACAACCGACCAGGGCCGGGGACAAACTGCAACCGAGGTACATGCCCTTAGCGGGAACCGAACCCGGGTCTCTCAGGACCGCAGGCCGACGCTCTAACCGCTGAGCCAAACCGGCCAGGGCTGAAATATTCTTAATCTAGCTAATTTATTTCTGTTTTTAAAAACTTTAAAAGCAGCTATGATTAAGTTTTTCATTTGTATGTTTGATTGTAGAGAGAGAAAGGAAAGGAGAGAGAGAAAAAATAGACAAAATAAAATATTGATTTGTTGTTCTACTTATTTTGTGCATTTGTTGGTTGATTCCTGTATGTGCCCTGACCAGAGGTCGAACCCACGACCTTTGTGTATTGGGATGATGCTCTAACAAACAGAGCTACCCAGCCAGGGCTTAAGTTTTAAACTATATTGTGATTCTAGGTAATTATGAGAAGTGGTCAGCCACTGACTGGCACAAATGGGAGACGGTGCAAAGAAGATGAGAAGCTGATAAATGCTACCCTCAGAGCTGGAAAGCGTGGCTATATCGTTGATACTCGATCTCTAAACGTAGCTCAGCAAGCTAGAGCCAAAGGAGGCGGCTTTGAACAAGAAGCTCATTATCCCCAGTGGAGGCGGATTCATAAGTCCATTGAGAGGTAAAAGATTCTGGAGACAGTGATGGACTTCTATTTGAACCTTATTAGAGGGGGTGAACCCTTAGCTCTTCAAAAATCACAAGTTGTCAATCGAATCTACACATTAACTTAGAGCCCAAAATTGACTGGCTATCATGTCATTGTGTTTTGTAAGATAAACAGAAAACTTCCCTGGATGCCCACAGGTGAATTTTAGTCAAATAGCACTGTTTCTCCAAGTCAGCTCTGATATTTCATTACCACAAGGTCTGCTCCTCTACTTGTAGATCAGTGGTAACCCAACGTAAACAGATAGGATACAGATAACTTTTTTTCCTAAGTCAAAAGACTTTAGACGTTTAGCTTCCCCCATACCCTCCTAGTCTCACACCCTGTTTCCTCCACCTAGATCATCTCCTGTTTATGCTTGCAGTTAGTGGGGTACAAGTGCTTCTGGGGATGGGAGTGGGAGTCAGGGCTGGCTTTGGGCACCCCTGCTGACAGTACTAGGAGGATCCATGGGAGTAGGATTGCAGATGTCAGTGGTGCTGTCTCTGTCCTGTCTCAAAGTGCAGCACTCTGGCCCTCTTCCCAATCAAATAATTCAGCTGTTTGACCGCCGTTTAATCTATTCAGATGAGGAACACTTTACCATGACAGGCATTTTAAGCATCTTTGCAATCATGTTTAAACATTCATTTTTCAATGTTTAATCCTTAAGTTATTATATAGCAAGGTAAATATTTTTATAATATTTTGAGCTACTTTTGCTCTTGGATTTTTGGAGGCTGAGTTTTTGGTTTGGTTTCTTCCTTCATTGTTTTGTTTTTCTTTTCCTTGTGTTTGAAAGGTATCACATTCTTCAGGAGGGCTTAATCAAACTTGTAGAAGCTTGTAATGACCAAACACATAACATGGATCGATGGCTCAGTAAATTGGAGTCTTCAAACTGGCTGACTCACATCAAAGAGATTCTGACAACTGCCTGTCTTGTGGCTCAGTGTATTGACAGGTAAAGTACATTTCAGTATTCCAGATTGGCACTTGCATTTCTAACTAGACTTCGTTTTTATCCAGACATATGTTTATATATTAACATACACCTCAGAGATATTTATGGGTTTGGTTCCAGACCACTGCAGTAAAGTAAATAGTATCTCAATAAAGAAGTCACATGAATTTTTTTTTGGTTTCCCAATGCATTTTAAAAGTTATGTTTAATTCTACTGTAGTCTATTAAGTGTGTGATAGCATTCTTTCTTTAAAAAAAAAAAAAAAGGAAAATACCTCAATTTAAAAATACTTTATTCTAAAAAAACATTACATCATCTGAGCCTTCAGCAAGTCGTAATCTTTTTGCTGGTAGAGGGTCTTACCATCAATTTGTAAAAAAAATGCAATATCTGCAAAGTGCAATAGAGTGAAGCTCAATAAAACAAGGTATGCCTGTATGTTAAAGTTTGTGCCTATTCCATATCTTATGTTCAGATCATTTTATAAATTATTATATAAGATAGCCAAATGGCATTCAGTTATCGATGAAGTATGTACACAGAGCTTGGCATTAAATTGATAATTAGTATTTGTTGCATGAATTGTGAACCATGTACATATACATGCCTTTGATGACACAACTTTTTAAAGTACCAAGGACCTATTTTTTTCTATACAATCCTTAAATTATTTATCTACCAATTTTCCTTAAACTGGGAGAAAGAAAAGTTTTCTTATGTCTTCTCAGAGGGCCAAACTTGCTTTCTTACTTTTGAAATATCAATGAACAGAAGCATGTAAATGTGTTACGCAGTAAAATGATCCTTTCTGATCTCTCAGATATCTTAAACTACTTGATGTGTGCAGTTATATCAGAATCTCAAGTTGAGAAAACCTGATGGTAGTGATGTGAAGCATATGAAATGATTTTAGTTTATTCACTCAGTTGAAGGTTGCTAATCCTTGAGACTTGAGGCAGAAGACTTGAACAGAGGGAGAAGGATTGGTATAAGTTGTTGCAGAAGCTTAGCATGCCCTTTTTAAGAAGGGGATTTCCACTGAAATAATAGGTAGGTATAAGTATTGCCACCACGTAGTTGGATGACACTTGTCTTTGAGAATTTAATGTTTTATTGATGCTTCCAAATTAGGGAACTATATATGTAATTTTTTATGGTTAGTGAGAAATTGATAATAGAATGGGTTGCTTAAAATCATGTGACAAGTTAGTGACAGTACCAAGAATGGGGAGACTTTTTTTTTTATCCTCACCCAAGGACATTTTTTCATTTTTTGTTCAGATAGAGCAGGAGGGAGAGAGAAACTTCGATGTGAAAGGTTCTGCCACCCGCACAACCCAACCAGGGCCGGGGACAAACTGCAACTGAGGTACGTGCCCTTAGCGGGAACTGAACCCAGGTCTCTCTGGACCGCAGGCCGACGCTCTAACCACTGAGCAAACCGGCCAGGGCAAATGAGCAGACTCTTGAAGTCAGAATTTCCAGGCTGTCACTGTTCTTTATTTTAGGTGAAGCTCATTTATATAATAAAATATGGGAGTTAAAGACCAAGGTTTTGTGGCAGGGAATGAACAATACAGAATGATGAGATGCCAAACTTCTTAACCTAAATTTAAAAGATTTCCCCTTATGTGATCAGTACAGAGGCTTCTGTTTTCTTATGAAACATGATTTGTAATAGACACTATCACCATGTTCTCTAAGTTCTCAGGGTAATAATGAGATGGTACAGGTCTAGGCAACCCTGGTTGCAGAACAGTGTTTGTTATCTCCACCTTTGCTTTGTTTGAGCTGCCACCTTAAACAATCAGGAGCCTCCACACTCCTAGGAGAGTGGAAGGGTTTGATTATTTTGCAATGTTTGGTTTTCCTTTTCTGATATGTATTAGCATATTACTTGTACCTTCATAAAAATCTGCCCTTATAAGTAATTACTAAAAATGTAAAAATCGACCTTAAATTAATTGAATTAAATTTAGAGTAGACCACAGATAACTAAGATATATATTCAGTATATATCAGAAGCCATAATATATTTGCTCATACCCTTTTCAGCCTACTGATTAGATTTCATTCTGAGAATGAGGTTGTTCACCTAACCATAAGTGAGCATCAGAGAGTCTTACTTTCAAATTAAGAACTCAGTTCAGCAAAAGAGAAAAGGCTAAGTACATCATCTATAGTGTAACAAAAATCGGCAGTAACCTTAATGTGCAACCATAGGATTAAGTAAATTTTAGTTGACCACTTAATAGACTATTTAATAACCATTAATACAATACTTCTAAAGATGACATAGAAACATGGGAAAATGTTTATAACAAAAATGGAAAAAATAAAAAATAACTTTTTCTTATAGCTATGCAAAGTATATATGTACAGTACATAGGAAGATAATTAACAATAATAAGCAAACATGAAACTTATGAGGAAGAGCTGATCTTATTCGCCCCCCACCCCCAAATTTTCTTCACTCTCATTTAAATATAAGAGGTGGAAGAAGGAGAAGGGAGATGTAGTCAATTTAGCTTTTGGTGCTTCCTCCCACTCTTTTTAGAATAGTAAGGTCCCATACACCTCCTAAGTGTTATGGTATCATTGCCACTGACTTTCTAGATTGACAGTTTTTATTTTTGTATGATTTTTTTACAATGTTTCTTTCTGTTTCATGTTTTTCAAAGTGTGGTTCAAGATGTTTTTCCCAGATCCATTACAGTTGATGAAGGTGTTCTTATAATCAGCTAGCTGATGGTGAAGAGGTAGATCAAGGTCAGAGACATATAGAAAAATAATTTTAAGCGTAGGTTTCTAGGTTTGATGAGAAAAGCCTTTAATCAACTATTAAAGCAGAAGAGGTAAGTGCCTACTGGGTGTGTTAAGGACTGCTTTTTCTTTTGTAAAGGGAGAAATTTTTCAGCCAAAAGGTTCTGTGAAATTTGTTATAACTTAAAGGGGCTCTTGTCATGTGAAATTTGGGACTTGGTATAGTTTTATTTTTTCCCCCAAGGGAAGCTCTCTTTGATATGTCTTATTTAGACTCTAAACCCTGTGGAACAGAGCAGAATAATACATAAGACTTCGTACTCAATAAATGTTTATTATTAGCAGACTTGATTGACCATATTGGGAGTCTTCCATTTGTACTCTGAATTTTCCTATCAGGGAAGGAGCATCCATATTGATTCATGGAACAGAAGGAACTGATTCCACACTTCAGGTGACCTCCCTGGCCCAGATCATCTTGGAACCAAGAAGCAGGACCATCCGTGGTTTTGAGGCCCTGATAGAAAGAGAGTGGCTGCAGGTGAGAAAGCTATTCTGTGAGCAGAGGAACAGTTCATGAGTGATGTTGTGATCCTGGTTTGTGGGGGCGGATATAATGTATGCAATGTTGATTAATTAAAATGTTTAAATTGTATGTTTAATTTTCTGGGGGACAATGAATTTATCTTTTTTTTTTTTTTTTTTTATCCTCACCCGAGGACATTTTTCCATTTTTTGTTCAAGTAGAGTGGGAGGGAGAGAGAGGAACAGAGAGAGAGAGAGAAACATTGATGTGAAAGGAACACATCAAGTGGCTGCCACCCGCACAACCGACAAGGGCCGGGGACAAACTGCAACCGAGGTACGCGCCCTTAGCGTCTCTCAGGACTGCAGGCCGACGCTCTAACCACTGAGCCAAACCGGCCAGGGCTGAATTTATCTTTTAATAAATCTTTGTAATCTTTACTGCCTGTCAATTTCTGTTTGTCTCTTTGCTTATATTGGTCATTTGGCACTTCATCCCCTTAAAGTCTTATTGGTTGTACTTTGTTACCTATAGGGGGAATACAAAGAATGTAAAACATAATCTTGTCTTCCAGAGTTTAGTCTTGTGATAAAAGACATAAACAAAGGGAGAGAGGAAGCAGGGATTTGTAATCACAAGCTTTTTAGGACTTTCTGCCATTCACTGTAGTCTGGCTCCATCCTGTCTCCTCCCCGGCCAGGGGAAACCCTTCTCATCCTTTAGGATACAGCTCATTGTCACTGCCATCTTTCATGAAGTCTTTGGAATCTTAACCTCCACAGATAAAATGGGTCCATTTTTTTGTGATTTGTTCCCTAAACTAGACCAAAATAAAATGACTTTGAGGTCAGAGAACCTTGCCCAATTTATCTGTTTATGCTTAGGACGCAACATTGTTGTCACAGAAGGCTGAATGACAGCTGAAATAAAGGTCTCATAAAACTGAAATCCTCCAAGTCAGAGATTAATTTGTGAATGTATATATACTGTGTAATTTAGTTTAGTAAACAATTGTGATTGAAAATAAATGTTTAGATATATCTTGGAAATGGAAGTATCTCTGGAGAAAATCATTTCTGAGCCTTCTAGTTACAATTAGGATTTATTATGTGTTATTGGTGTACCCTGTCTACCCTGCCTGATAATTGACCTTTATCTCTGTTTAAGTCAGAACATCCTAAATATTTGGTGGAAATGTACTCAGCTGCATTCCTGTGATACAGAGCAAACAAACAAATGAGTATGATGTACTTATATATTAGCATCTTAATGGGTTTAAAAATCCCATTAGACACTGGAGAATGGTCATGGCATTATCTTTGTCTCACATAAGGACCCTAAGATAAAGCAGGTCTGTGAAATACCTAGAAGGGTGTGATTTGGGATAATGTTGATACTCAGGTTCTGGGTAGACCAGAGAGCCAAATGATTCTTAAATTTCCTTTGGTCAGTACATGGTACACTTTTCCAGTTCTTTTAGGGGAAAAGAGGGAAACTAAGGAGAGCTTTATCTAATAAATATAAAAGGTATTCATAAAGATGTCTTCATGACAATAACATTTTTTTCCGTATGTAACTAAAGACTTAATATTAGAAGTGAGCTTATACATTTTATCTATTAGAGCTCCATATTTATTTCCACTTAGTGGTGAAGCTTATGTACCTTCCATTTGTCTACCATGCTTTGGACAGATAGAAGATGATTGCTGTCCTTTGTTTTGTAACCGAAGAGCATATGTTCTTTGACTTTGCTCCAAATTACACAGACCTAGAAAGTTTTATAAATTTATCATTACTGAAGTTCATTATTCTTCCATTTGACTTTCCAAGGACAACTGTGGTTATTATGTTAGGTATTTCACTGCACAGCCTTGTTAGGTATTTGGAAATTGTTTTAAACCAAGAAATCATTAATCTGACAGCAGTCACCAAAATTATACGATGTTTCATTTAGTAAGTTTCATTGCACCTGTGTGAAATAATGTTGCTAGAATGTGGGATCTCACTGGGATATGACTATCACGTTTCCATCTTTTCTCATAGGCTGGTCACCCGTTCCAACAGCGCTGTGCACAGTCAGCCTATTGTACTAGTAAGCAGAAGTGGGAGTCACCTGTATTTCTTCTCTTCTTGGACTGTGTGTGGCAGATACTTCGTCAGTTCCCTTGTTCTTTTGAATTTAATGAGACTTTTCTCATCATGCTCTTTGAGCATGCTTATGCCTCACAATTTGGAACATTTCTGGGCAACAATGAAAGTGAAAGGTGGGTACACTGCTCCCATGGGGGCTGTTTCATTTTAAGTTGTTTTAGTCACTTCCTAAGAGAGAGCAGGATTTGGTTCTGCATTAATGTTATTTATAAGGTGAGAGTCTATCCTAAGACTTTGTTCTTTTAGATTAAAATTAATTCATAGCCCTGGCCAGTTAGGCTCAACGGTTAGAACATCAGCCTGAGGACCAAAGGGTTGAAGATTCAATTCCAGTCAAGGGTGAAAGGATTAGTAATGTTTTAAAGGATAATGGTAAAAGGTTGCAAAAGGCAGAGACCCTGGAGATTGTTTTGCTTGCATGACCTTTGCTCAGCCTTTTGTTGAGTATGAATAAGGATTGTCTAGATTAAACGCAAGGCACTGGATAACCCAGCAGATGCCGGACTGGATACCAGATCAGCCCTGTTGCAAGGTAGACAATTGGCCAGACAAAGTACATCAGCAAGAACTGCTGGAAGCTAAAATTAGGGTTTATAACCAACACCCCAACTCTAATTCGCAGCTGAACTCTTTTCGGCTCAGCCGGCCTGCACCCAGGCGCATACAATAAAGCCATTTTGCTCTGCACTAGCCTTGTGTTGTGGATGTGATCTCCCTCCAGCTCAGATCTTTTAAAGGGCACGTACCTGGGTTGTGTGTTCCGTCCCCAATCTCAATCAGGGTCGTGTGGGAGGCAATCAGTTGATGTGTTTCTTTCACATTGATGTTTCTCTCTCTCTCTAGCTTGCTCTTTCCTCCCTCTCTCCCTCCCTCCCTCCCTTCCATTCTACCTAAAAAAAAAATCAATGGGAAAATATCCTCTGGTGAGGATTAACAAAAAAATAAAATAAAAATAAATGTAGACACAAAACATTTAAAATTAGTCCATATACTAATAAGAAAGCTTTGAGTAAATTGAGCAACCATTTTAAATTATAATTTCCTTACATAGGACCATAGTGTCTTATATCTACAAGAAGCCTTAACATAGTAATCTAACTGCACCCGCCATCTGGTTTTATAGATTTAGGAAGGTAATACGTAGATAAGTTAAATGACTTGTCCAGAGACACAGCCAGCTGGTCACCAAAAGTAGGGCTGTAGTACAGGTCTCCCTACTCCTGCTCTAGCCTTTCTCTGTTAAAGTAGTGTATGTAACTTTAACTCGGCACTTCGATACTATGTTTGACTATGGGTTCTTTTTGGTGTTGTACCTATCACTATCCCACAGGCCTACATTCAGTAAAGGATCACAAATAGATTTTATCTCATATTCTTATTCCTATTTGGCAGAGCCTACCAGTAGTACTGATTGAGGATTCTGAAGCTCTGTGGGGCAGGCTTAGCCTGAAAAAATTCAGTGATTGGCTAGCCATGGACTTGGGGACAGGGGGCTGTAGGGAGCAGTGGGTGCAATGGTTTCCTATCCTCACTATGCCTGGTTCCTGGGGACATAGTATGGGATTTGCTATCCAAGCAATTAAATGCTAGTACCACATGGGTTCTGTGGTTATGTGGGTTCTTTTTATTGCTAGCATAATTATATTCACATAATTAACTTTGATGAAGCTTATAAGTAATCAAGTAATTTCAGAGACAAAACCAATTTTATAGTAAAACTTTAGCTTGAACAGAATCCTGTGAAAATTGAATATATTATCTTTTTGGTTAATGTAAGGTTTAACACAAATTATCTTGTTAAATTATAGATTTAGGAAGTTAATATGAAATTCTTATTAAACTTTTTTTCTAAAATGTTCCAGTTTGCTTTCTAATCTACTTAGCTATTTTAAGTTAAAATACAGTCCCAGATACATAAAGGACTATGTATGATGTGACCAGATTCTGTTTTTTTTCCTTCGTGCTGGTTTTGGAAGCTTGTAAAACAGTTTTTGTTTATTGTTATTGAGAGTTATAATGCTGCTATTCCTGACAGATACGTTTATTTTACAACATTTTATTCCTCTACTAAAAGTCTTGTATTTTGCCTTCCAAAACACAGAGAAAAGAAATTGTCCTATTAGGAGGAGCACTTGATAGTGGTTGTTAGAAATTAACTGCTCTACTGGCATTTTTTTTCTTGATCAGATGTAAGTTGAAGCTACAGCAGAAAACAATGTCTCTGTGGTCTTGGGTCAATCGGCCCAGTGAACTGAGTAAATTCACCAATCCTCTCTTTGAAGCCAACAACCTTGTCATCTGGCCTTCAGTTGCTCCACAGAGTCTTCAGCTCTGGGAAGGTAAGCTGTGCATCCTTTGCAAACTTTCTATCATTAGTCAAGGATGCTCTTTCACCTGCCTGTGTACATGCTGTTGTGGATGTTTGAAGGTGGTAAGGTGGACCTCATTCTCAGACTTGTGTGTAACTATTTTTTTCTCCATGTTTTTTGAGGAATCTTCACACTGTATTCCATAATGGTTGCACCTTTTTACAATCCCACCAGCAGTGCACAAGGGTTCTGATTTTTTCACATCCTTGCCAAGAGTTGTTGTTTTCTTGTTGGGTCTCTCTCCCCTCCCCCCGCCCCCTGCCTTTGGTAGTGGCCATCCTAATGGGAGTGAGGGGAAGTGCATTATTTCTTGTGGGAGAAAATTGGTAGATAGTTGGAAGAGGAATAAAATAGATTGTAAGCTCCTAGGAGAAAGTTTCTGTTTCCTTTATTAAGCAGTCATTAGGATAGGTTCTTCTGTTAAGTGCTACTGAAGGGTTGATGAGCTAGCCATTCTGGTTAGGTCTACAGATGTGCTCAGATGTCATGCATCCAGGCCGTAATGCAGATGTCCCACTGTTCATGTGGAACAGTAACCCATGCCTAATTTTCAGATCTATTCTAAAGAAGGTGTTTTACCTACAATATTTTTCCAGACTCCTGAAGCGTATCCTTAAATACCAAAGCATGTTATTTTTTTAAAAAATGGCCAAAATTTATCTAAAATGTATTAAAAGACCAATACCATTTACTTTTTAAAAAATCATTTGGAAGGTAGTAAGTACATCTCTATTCATCTTTGTAGTAAATAGCATAGGGCATACACACAGGGATGGCAGCTGTTTGGTAAATTGAACTGAATTACCATAAATGTCTGTTATTATACCGTGTTCTGATATGTTATGCCCTGAAGGACAATTCATGTGTGGAAAGCTATTTGCCCTTTATGTGTAAAAGAATCTCAGATTGCTTTGCTTTCTCAGCTTGAGATCAGGTACATTTCTGTCACTCTCAGAATGTCAACTCTCACATCTTATTTCTCTTGGCAATCTGTCAATAGCCGCTTCCTTCCCTCTCAGTTTATGCTTCTAATTTTATCTGCAGAGGTGTCCCCTAGTCAGAATTGTGGGAAAATGGCCTCAGAGAGTCTTGGGGTTCTTGGAGTCTGAGCACTAGTGCTTTGGGGATTTTTGGCTGCTTAAGATTTCTCTGCTTACTCTCTTGATGGGGTTGTAGACAGTCACAGGTGCAGGAGAAGTAATCTCTTAAATGAGAGATTTCAGCCGTACTTCTTGTTTAAGACTTCTGGGGCAATTTACCTAAAAGCCACTGTCATGCTTAATAACTGAAATGAGAGACTAGCTTACTTGGGAGAAAAGCCAAATTTGGGAGTTGGATGGCCTAAAGGATGATTTAACTGGTTTTTACCAAACCTTATTGAGAGTTTCGGGATTGAGTGATAGCAGGAAATCTTTGTTATGTGAATGAATTCCGACCACTCTATTAAGAACAGAGTTTCCATATGTGTGTATGGAAACCAAGTCTTCTCAACTTAGAACTGGAAGAAATTCTGTTAGGTAAAATCTTCTCATGGTAGGTATGTGGAATGTGTAATGAGACTACTCTTTAGCCTTAAAATGTCTCTCTGTGGGACTTCCGCTCAAGATGGCAGCGTAGGTAAACACAGTCCTCACCTCCTCCCATAACCACATCAAAATTACAACCAAACTACAGAAAAAACATCCTTCAGAACCGCCTAAAATCGAGCTGAATGGAAGTCCTACAACTATGAAATTAAAGAAGCCACATGGAGACTGGTAGGAGGGGCAGAGGCACAGATGGGCTAGTCTCACCCACCTGTGGTGGATAAAAATCAGGAGGGATACCATGGTTGGGAAGGTCCTCCCTGAGGAGCAAGGGGTCCCCATCACACACCAGGTGCCGCAGCTCAGGGTTCCAGTACCAGGAAGACAAGTACCCATAATGTCTGGCTGTAAAGACCAGTGGGAATTGAGGCCGAGGAAGGCTGAGGCTGCTGGAGTCCCAAGTAGCTCCTCTTAAAGGGCCCATGCACAGACTTACTTGGACTTGCTCCCTCTGAGTTCCAGCATGGAGAGGAGGCAGCTTTAAAGGCACCAGAGACGTACAGGGAAGAACCAAGTTGCTTTACATCAGGCTGAGGGCTGGAGAGGCAGCTTTCTCCTTAACAGACGTGTTGGCAGAAGCTGATGTTCCTTTGGTGAGCCCTTCCCTTATGAGGCGCCGCTATATGAGGGACTCCAAGAACCTGACTCACACTGTTTGCCTCACTCTGGTGATACCCTGAAGCCCTTCTCCACCTAATTTTTGGGCACACCCAACTATTTCCAGTGATTTTACCATAGGATTGGCCTGTTTTGGATTCTGCTTCAGATTTTCCTAAATTCTCTCAAACAAGCAGCATCTGGCCACAGCAAGCCCCATACCTCTCCCTAATTGGTCCCAGGCCTGGCACTAGAAGCAGCCAGCCTTGGTTCACAGCTTGGCTTTGCCTGGACACCTCCAAGCCCAGCACAAGAAGCAGCCATCAGCAAATCACTTTGTAGCTTATGCCTGGTGGCCCCGGGTAGAACACAGGCAGTGGCTGACCTTGCCCCAGAGCCAGCACACCCAGTTGACAGCTTCAGACCAAGTTGAAGCACCACCACCCAACCACCTCTATAAGTGACATATTCAAGGAATGGACTCAGTGGGTACCAGAGCCCTGCTGGAGTAAGTCTTGCTCTGATGGTGGGCCCCTGCACAGCTGATCATCCAAGGTAATCAGAGGTCAGTGAATAGTGGGCACAACCAGTCCTTGCACCTGATCAGCCTAAGTAAAACTTTCCCATTGACATGCCAACAGCAATCAAGACTCAATTACAACAGAAGGGTGTAAAGTCCACACGAGGGGTGCACCTCAAGGGCCCAGCAGGGTGACCAGGGAGGCTGTGTCACTGGACCTTGTAGGACACCTACTACAACAGGCCACCCTAAGAAGCCTAGGATACATAGCAACTCTACCTAATACATAGAAATAAACACAGGGAGGCAGCCAAAAGGAAGAGACAAAGAAACATGTCCCAAGTGAAAGAACAGAACTCCAGGAAAAGAACTAAATGAAATGGAGGTAAGTAATCTAACAGATGCAAAGTTCAAAACACTGCTTATAAGGACAGTCAGTGAACTTATTGAGGATTTCATGAGAACGTCAAAGAACTTAATGAGGGCCTCAAGTGCATCATAAAGGACCAGTCAAAAATAAAGGATGTACTAACTGAAATAAAGAATAATTTACAGGGAATCAGTAGTAGAGTAGGTGAAGCCAAGAAGTAAACCGTCGATTTGGAATATAAGGAAGCAAAAAACACCCAATCCGAACAGCATAAAGAAAAAAGACTCCAAAAAATATGTGGAGAGTATAAGGAGCCTGTGGGATAACTTGAAGCATACCAACATTTGTATCATGGAAATGCCAGAAGGAGAAGAGAGAGGCGGGGAAGGAGAAGAAATTGAAAACCTATTTGAAAAAATGATAGAAAACTTCCCTAACTTGATGAAGGAAACAGACTTATAAGTCCAGGAAGCACAGAGAGTCCCAAACAAGATGAACCCAAAGAGGTCCACACCAAGACACATCCTCAAAAGGTTAAAGACAAAGAGAGTATCTTAAAAACAGCAAGAGAAAAGCAGTTAGTTACCTACAATGGAACTCCCATAAGGCTGTCAGCCGATTTCTCAAAAGAAACTTTGCAGGCCAGGAAGAAGTAGCAAGAAATATTTAAAGTGATGAAAAGCGAGGGCCTACAGCCAAGATTATTCTGCAAAGCTATCACTTAGAATCGATGGCCATATAAAGAACTTCCCAGACAAGAAAAAGCTAAAGGAGTTCATCACCACCAAACCAGTATCATGAAATGTTGATGTGTCTTCTTGAAGAAAAAGAAGATTAAAAAATATGAACAAACAAGATGTCAACAAACACATATCTATCAACAATTGAATCTACAAACAAAATGAGCAAGCAGAACAGACACAGACTCATAGATACAGAGAACTTTTTATTGGTTGCCAGATGGGAGGGGGGTTTGGTGAAAAAGATGTAGGGATTAAGAAATACAAATTGGTTGTTTGACTAACTTCAGGGGGAAGGGGTTGAGAAGAGATAAACCAAAGAACTTATATGCATATGTGCATAACCAGTGGACACAGACAATAGTGTGGGGAAGGCAGGAGTGGGGAAGAAGGGGTCAAGGAGGGACATCTGTAATACATTCAACAATAAAGATAAGTTTAGAAAAAAAGATAAAACCCCCCAAAAGGTCTCCCTGCTGTTTATATTTGCATCATAGTTAAACATTAATACTAAGTAGTTCCTATATTGAAGAACAGGATTTTAAAAATAGAAATAGACAAATCATGTAATAGAAAAATCAACACTGGTCAGTCAGTTTTAAGCTGTGTTTCTGTTTTCCCTTTCTGATAGAGAATAGCATTTGGACATATACATACAGACTCTTTAGGGCCCATGACAGTTTGGTTTGTGGAGAATATTTTAATGAATCATAAAACCTTTGTGAACTTGCCAGCTACTGATATGTTGCAAGCCTGGAAAGTTTTGTACCTCCTTACTTGAATATCTTTCAGCCATTATTTTGGGATGATATGGTTAACATAGGTCTATGTATAGGAGAAAAATGTTTCCTTTTAGTCCATAATAAAATGGTGTTTTTTATTTGGGGAAAGAAGCATAATGGAAAGACTACCTTGTAGGTAACAGAGAGGGAGCTGAAGTTTAGGCTTTTAAATAACAAATCTATGTGATTCTGCTTTGACTGCAACTCTTGTTTCCAGTAAAAGTGATTTCACACATGTAGGTCTCACATAAAGTTCTGTAATTGTGGAAAAAGGGATTTCTGTTGTGAAACTGAAAAATGTATGCCATTGTAAATTATCAGCTTGTTTTCCTGAATATATTAGAGAACGGCATTTTGATCTATTTCGTAGTTTTCTGTGTGGGGGGTGAAGAATTAATGAGCATTTACATAGAAATGGTGACTTCTTGAATACTGTATCTAATTGTATTCTTTCAGTACCTCAAGATTCCTGTATGTTTTAGAGAATAATAAAACATAGATGTGAATTGTGAAAAAATTAATACATGGAATTATATTATCCACACCTTTAATGTTAATTCATTGTATGTCTCTTTTTCCCTTCTGTTTTCCTATCCTGGATTCAATAGGTATTTTTCTACGTTGGAACAGATCCTCCAAGTATTTGGATGAAGCGTATGAAGAAATGGTTAACATCATTGAATATAATAAGGAATTACAAGCAAAAGTAAATATCCTTAGGAGGCAGTTGGCAGAGCTGGAGACTGAGGATGGGGTTCAGGAGAGTCCCTGAAAGATGTCCCCACACCCTATGTAAGAACCTTCCCGGACCCGTATCCCACCTCTCTCTCTCCTTTTGCCCTTCAGCTCACTTTTACACAGTAGCCTTGAACTTGAGGCTTTGGATGTGAGAACCCTCTGATCTAATGGATTTCTCAATACTTTATGAATGAAACTTACTATAATTACACATGTTTCATGTGGCCTCTTAGGCCTCTTTACTTTGGGAGCAGGAAGGAGGTGCTAGTCATTTTATTTTATTCTATGTGAACCAGGTGATCTGTGTAATGCCATTTGTGTTATACGCCATTTCATCATCAGCTTTTCTCTGTGATCTACTTTCCAACAGTGCTTCAGACCAGTCAAGGATATGATCAGTCTCTTTAGGGAATTATGTTAGTTTAAAAAAAAAGATCAGGTGTTTAAACACTTTGAATATAGAAATATTTTTCAAAACTGAATTGGTGGATAAACCAAGAATTTTATGTTTAACATGCCATTTCTAGTACCTTTGCCATTCTCTTTAAAATAGTTTTGGACTAACAAAGCTGAATTAAGTCTCATTGTGGTTTTTCAAGAAAGGAAATTCTGAATATTTATTCAAGGTAAATTATTGTTACAAGGGCAACAGGTATAGTCCTCTGATATTTACCTTAAGAAGTAAATTTAACAGTAGACAGTAAAGGTATGTGCAATATAGAAATAAAATAGGAATTTGTTACTGATGTGGTATTGTTACTGTTGAATTGGTTTTTCAGGTTTTTGACCATACATATTAAATATGTATCAGATGCTGGGTGTAATATTAAACCATCATTTATAATAGATGTTAATTTGTTATAATTAAGCTACAAATATGGTTTTCTTAAACCAGGGATGCACTGCCCTTGCCTGACATCCTTATTGTACTGGTTTATGTACGTATATGTATGTTCTTTTGTGTTTGGTTTTATTTTTAAGCATTTTAAGAGTTTACTAATACTAAGGTTACAACTTTCATGGTGGTTTGAGCCTTTTGAAAATTTATCTGGACTCTGCTGATTTGTCCATTATATGTTAGGCAAATATAATTTAAGTGGAGGTGAGAGTGTATAAACATGGTGCAGCTATATTTTAAACTTCAGATTTGAAATGTTTCAATGTTATAGAAACAATGATGACTGTATTTATGCTGTGCTAGTTTTTTCCTGCAACTCTGAAAGTTTGCAGCTTTCCATGTATGTTTCTGTTTTGCGGAATTGCTCATTTAAACAAATACTATCAATTCCAGTTATCCTTTAAAAGGATAGTTGAAAAGTAATCATTAATACCATTTCTACCCCATCTGTATATAACCATTTCAGTGTAAAACATACCAAAACTGAACCCTGCTTTAGAGCTATGTATTGAGATAAAAATATAATTTCAAAAGATTGACTCTATCAAAATCTCTGACCACATTCAGAAGCTTTTAGAAAGTGGCAAATTCTTGCTATCTCCAGTTGCCCAAGCTTTTTTTTTTTTTTTTTTTTCTGTTTCCTCAGACTGTAGCAAAAGGCTGGACAATTCATAGTTAGAACTTTCCTTTGGTAAATGTGCCTGCCTTCTCCTATAAGCTCAGTTTTGTTCTCAACTTATTTGGCTATAATTATTAATCTTGAGGCATTAAAGCCTTCACCTAAAGGCGAAGGCAGGGAGCAAAGGAGATGAACTGTCTTGCTGTATATATAGCTCTGTGTTGTGTGAAACATCTATATTTTTTAAAAGAGGAAACATTCTAGCTTTTTTTATGGCCCTTCAAAATTGCTTGCTGCTTTGTTCAGGTAGCTGGCTTTTTTGTTTTCCGCTAATTCTGTCTCACGACAAGATATGAAAAAGGAGCCCCTTTTTTCTATGCTAATGGACCCATAAAGAAAACCATCTAGAGATTTATTTATTTTTTTAGTAATTCTTTAAAAGTGACCCCCTCGACCCTCCCCCCACCGCTAGTGATATTGATTGGCCATTGGGCTTCTATAGGTTGAAATTTTGGAAGGAGTTTTTATTAGGTTTGGTCATGGAGAAATTGTATGCCATCAATTTATACCTGTCTTCCTGATGCATATTTTATGTGCGAACCAGAGTACAATAGGATAGCATAGTGTTTCTATTTCTTTTATTAAGACAGCAATGTTAAGCTGTTTGGACAAGTTTGCATTTTAGTATTAATTCATAATTAGAGATTGTCCAAACTGCATTTCCAATTTTAGCTTGTAAAAACAAACTTGGGTATCTATGTACTTTCAAAGGAAGTCATCTAATACTGTAAATATTAAGGTTTTCCAAACTTAAGAACTCTGTCAAAAACAAGTGCATTATCAACATAATGAAGAGGGTTTTTAGTAATACTATTAAGTTACCCATCCATTGGATGAGAAGAATACATAAAATGGATATAATCATAAGAAGATACTTGTTAAACACTGTTTGGACAGCTGTCTTTGATAAGTGTGGCTTTACGTTTTTTAATGAAGAGAATGATGGCAGAATTATTGAGCAAGCAAACTGCCCCACAGGAGTCAATAACAATCAAGTGATATATATTCAAGTTTTCATATATTAGGCATCTTCCGTATTCATTTATAGTAAAGGCTGCTGCTGTTTTACATTTTTGGGATGCCAAAGTATGCCCCACAAAGAATATCTTAAAAATACAAAGGATTGCTACAATCCTCTTTCAACAATACAAAGATCTTTAGATTTAAATTAATGATTTTTTTAAATCAGAAGAACATGGTTGATGTGTGAAAATGCTAAAACTTTCAGTGGTAAGACTTTTCAGTAATTGATCAAAATTTTTCATTTTGATTTTTAATGGGAATAAATGCAGAAATTGTAAAATCTAACAGTTTAAACAACCTGTAAATGTGTTTTATTTCTTTTTTTAAAAAAAGGCCTTTGAAGCAACATTTTAAAGTGATTTTTAGGAAAACTTTAGAAGACAGTAGATATTCATTTCAGATCCCATTGGGGAATCTACAAACTTTTCTTTGAACTCCGAAACCCGATTTTCTGAGGTGATGTGTCATTGCTTTTAATTTTAAAGGCTGAAATTTAATGAGATTTTAGTCTTTGATCCAGTTAGTACTTATATTAAATAAAAAATCAACGTCATGGAAAAATTTGACCAGCACTTGTCTCTTGAAGTGAAAAATTGGGACATCATGCTACATTTTTAAAAATCTGCTTAAAGGTGTAACTCTTGTAATTAATGGTTTCAGGATTAACTGTTTTGTCAGTGTTAAGTGTATAATCAGGTTCACTTATTATAAGACCTTAACCTGAGATGAAGTTTGGGTATTTATCTATACCCAGATTTAATGAATAAAAAGTGTGTGAGGGTATTATGAGCACTCTTTATCAGAAAGTTATTTCTTGGACCAAAAATGAGCAATTTTTAGAATAGTTGATCTTCTGTTCTGGCAGCTATGAAATTGACCAGAGAATGAAGCCATTCAGTACATACAGGTGTATGTTATACCTCAAGACAATGTAGTGAGTTATTTCTTATTGTTTAACATGTCAGATCTCCCTACTCCCAGAGCTGATATCCTAAGTTATTACCCGATAGTGTTTTTATGGAATTCAGCATCTTAACTAAAAAATATTAGAAGATTGATTTCACCATTATTATTTATTCTCAGATTATATGAAATGCTAATTTTCTTACAATATCAGTTTCCTAATTTTTGTTTTACTGAATAAGACTGCTTTTACCTTCACTCAGTCTTTATAATCTAGTGTCCACAGCATCTTCTTCCTTTAAACTAACAACCCAGGAGAGATCCTCTGAAACTCTTGACTAGGTTTTAGGAAATCTGGACTTGTTATTTAAATTCCCTCTAAAAAACCCAGTGTCCTATTTTTGAACAACACTGCAGAACTCTAGTTTATATTTAATTTAGCGAAAGATAGTGGGGCTCACTGTAGACACTACTTTGTCCTGAAAAATAATTCCTATGAGAACTTACTGACATTTAGAGCCATTCTGTTTAACCATCTGTGAGTATACAGATTAACTATATGTGTGATTTGTATTGAAAACAAGTTGTGCAACGCTGCCTGTGTCTCTCTGTCTGCTCAAGACATTTGTTTCCCTTAAAAAATTATTTTTTCTTTTTTTTTTTTAGAAAGACAGGAAGGGAGAGGGAGAGAGAGATAGAAACATCAATGAGAGAGAACATTGATTGGCTGCCTCCTGCATGCCCTCCACTGGGGATCTGGCCCACAACCTGGGCATGTGCCCTCACCAGGAATCAAACCAGAGACCTCTTGCTGCATGGGGCAACGCTCAACCACTGAGCTGCACTGGCCGGGCCATTTGTTTCACTTTTAAAATGCACATATCTTTGGAGAGGTGGATTATTCTACACAAATACACCCTGAGTTCTGTTGTTTAGAATCCTTATAGCTCTATCATGATCTACACTAATAATGTTGTACTTGCACAACTTAGTTATTTTTAAAAGTATGTATTTCTTCAATAGCGGGTATTTCAATTGTACTCTTGATATATTTGAACATGACTCTTGGGATAAGTGCACTATTATTCATGTCTCACACAATAAAATTGCACTGTATGGCAAATGTGTCTATAATGTATGCTTTGCTAAAACCTCAGAGTGCTGTAATGTATAGGTTTCTATATTGTGAACCTGTCTATATATAGTCTTCGGGGAAAATACTGAACTTTCATGAATCTGTGTAACATTTTAATGTTATTTACAGTGTTCCCTAAGTGACGCGCTCGTTTATGTTCTAAAACTGGAATCATTCATCTCGAGTTGGCTGCCTTGTCAAGCTTGGTTTACTGAATCCACAGACAGTCTTGTTGAACACGGTACTGTTATCTTAGTGTGTAAGATTTGTGTGTAGTGGTCCCCTCTGCCTCAGAGGACTGTTGCACAGGTGCAAGTGTTCACATTTCTATAGACAATGGAAATAAAATTTGAATATATTCAAATATGGTCAACTAAATCTGTAGGCTAACTTTAATTTGTTTTCAAATATCTGCGAAGGTTTTGGCAGTTTCGATTAAAATTGCTACATATTTTGATCTTATGTTTTGAAAAAATTCAGATCCACCAAAAAAGTTGCAAAGTATACAGTGGTCTCCCATATACTCTTCACCTAGATCGAATAATTTAGATTGAGTAACTGTTAACATTTTTTCACCTTTGAGTTACACTTTTGAGTGTGTGTGTGTATTGTTGACACGTTTGAGGGTAAACTGTACATTTTATGACCTTTCCACCTAAGTATGTCATAGGTATTAGGAATATGTATTTACATACTGTTTACTTGGTATGTATTTTTATGAATATATGAATGAGGAAAAAGGGAAAGTTATTCAGAGTAGATTATCAACACTGAAATGTAGAATGACAAAATTAGAAAGTTACTATTTGGCAATCATCACAATAATAATTGACCTAGGCAGTCACCATCAGTGGATGTTAGAACTAGTAGGATAAAGTTTGTGAGGAAAAGCAAAGTATTTTTCCATAAAATGCTTATTAGTTACAAAGGGGGAAATAGTAACTTTACAGTGAAGGAACCTGGTAGATACCACCCTATCCAAGCACAGTTAGCACCACTAGGAATGGGACACATCAATATCATGTGCCTTCTGATATGACTCACTGAGAATACAGCATCACTTTTGTGGCATTTTTGCAAAAGCAAACAAAAAAAGCACAATCTGAATCTAATTATAAAGAAGTGGTATCAGGCAAATTTAAATTGAGGGACATTCTACAAAATAACTGGTCTGTATTTAACAACTATATATATATATTTTTTGCCCAGCCAGTTTGGCTCAACGCTTAGAGCATTAGCCCGTGGACTGAAGTGTCTTGGGTTTGCTTTCTTGTCAAGAGCACATACCTGGGTTGCA